GGAGGATTCTGGCTAGAGGTCAGGAATTCTTCCCAAAGAGACTTTTGGGAACACTGTCTGCCGAGGTGGGGTGAAATGTTCCTAGGGCAGATGGAGGAGTAGGAGACCCTTCTGGATTCTACCCAGAGCCCCCCCCCCTTTATTCTAACCGCTACTGTCCTCATGAACCCATCTTTGGATGGCACCTCCCATGTCCCTGTGCTCAGGCCAACCTCCCTCATGTCTCCTGCACTACAGCTGGAGGGATCTTTTTATTATTACTCTCCTGCTCACAGTCCTTCGATAGCTCCCCATTGCCCTTAGAGTAAAGTCCAAGCCCCTTTCTCAGGAAGCACACAGCCCTTCACACCCTCCCCTCCAGGCTGGGCTCTTTACTTTGAGCACCTTGCTCTGATTTCCAGCCTGCCAGATTGCATACAGTTCCCCTCCCAAACCATGCTGCCTCCCAAGTATGTACTGTTCTCTCTGCCTGGAATGTCTCCCCTCCAGCTTTTCCACTTTGCCTGGTTCTGGGGCATGCCCTTTGGGAAGCCTTCTTGGACACACAGGAACCCCCTCCTTTGGGTTTCTATAACCCTGGACTTCCCTGGCTGTCACCCTCAGCTGAACAGTTTCTGGAGGTCAGGGTCTGGATCCTGTATACCTCTGTATTCCCAAAGCTCTGTTACTGGCACTTAGTAGGAGCACAAGAAATGTTCAGGGAACTGAACTGAGCCTCCTGAGGTCCCTTCCGCTGGAGGGAATGACAGAGTTGGATCGTTTGATAAGCGCTGTCTCTGGGCTGGAGAGAAGGCAAAATTCAAAGGGCAGCTGGGGTCAGAACACTGCCCAGGGCTGCTGGGCACCTCACAGAGGCCAAGACCTTCCTGGGTTCTTCTCCTCCCCTCCCCTGGAACTGCCCATTTCCTGGCCCACTTCACCAGTCCCAAAGATCTAAGTGTAACACAGCCAGCACCCATGCAGGTCCTGTAAGTGATATGGGGTGCGGAAGGCGGGGGGAGGCAGTGACACTGACCTTAGGGCCCCCAGCCACCCCATGTCCTTCTGGGCTTCATTCTGCAAAGGAGTCGATCAGCCTCTCTTCTGTCCCCTGAAGGCTGTTTTCAAAATCACACCCTATGCAGACAGTTTTATTTACAAGAAAATCTTGGCAGGATCTTGACTTGTTAGTAGAGTAGGGATGGGGGGAGGGTGGTGAGAAACAAAAATAGTTGGAATGATCACACTTTCTGAAACCGAGATGAAAATTGGTGTCTGTAGCAAACTCACCTAATTAGAACGGAGTTAATTTCCTTCTCTGCGTTTAGGAGGAACAGTCATTGTCGGGTGGGATGGTCACAGGTTGGATCCTGGGGCCGGGGTTCTGTGTTCACTTTATGAAGATGAGAGCATTAATTGCAACTTTCACCAATGGAAATGAGCATCAGTTTCTGAGAGACAGAACAAAGGCCAGTAAGGGGAGTGGAAGGAGACAGCCTTGGTGTGGGCTGGGGACTGACGGTTGGACAGCACCATAAATGAATCCCTGAGCCCCCTGGGAGAGACCAGCACCTGTCCCAGCCCGCCACTGGCACCGCCTACAGGCAGAGCCTCTGCTTAAGGGAGACTCTCTCCTGGGAGTTCTCTCCTGCAAGGAAGCAGGACCGATTTTGCTTTTTTTCTTTAAAAGATTCCCTACTCCTCTGCTCTAACTTGATTCCTACTTGCTATAGCCCCTCTCCCAGGTAGGGCACTTCCCTGGTCTTACCTTTGCCACCTGGTCAAGTAAAGCCAGGGCACTGTCACACAGCTCTGGGTGTTGGGAGGCCAAGGTTCAGGGTTTGGGGTCTGGGATTCTTCTGACTTCTTCCATCCCTAAACTACTGGGCTACCTGGACCCCCCCCCCAGGATCTGAGACCGAAGTGAAGAGAAATAGGGTGGTCGAGGGACGCCGTCCTCCCAGCATCCTGACCCCAATCTATTCGCAGTTAACCCCGACATTGCCAACTTAGTGAGTATCTCGCCCCTGCCTCCTTCACGAGTCTGCTGCCTCCAAGTCATCGTTAACCCGGTGGGTCTCGGCAAGTGGACACTGCACCCTCCAGCCGGGTGCGGAGAGGCAAATCCGGACCCGGAGAGGAAGCAGCTGGTGATGTGGCCGGGCATAGCACAGCCCCATCCCCGCCCTGGGCCGTGCGGCTACTTTGCCCAGCCCGCAGCAGCCCTTCTC